TTTAAATGGGATGAAGAGATTCATGAAGGAGATTTGAACACATGGAACAGCTGGCTAGAACATTTATCAGAATTAGAATACCTTACAGTACCAAGATGCTTTAAACCGAACAATTTCGGTAAGATTAAAGAACAACAGATACACCACTTCAGTGATGCCAGCAATAAAGGATACGGAGTTGTATCATACATCAGAATTATAAATGAAGAAGGAAAAATCTATTGCAATCTTATGATGTCTAAATCAAGAGTAGCACCCCTCCAAAAGAAGACCATACCCAAAATGGAACTCAACGCAGCAACCATAGCCGTCAAATTACATCATAAAATTACTCAAGAACTAGATGTCAAAAGGGACAACATATACTTTTGGACGGATAGCCAAACAGTTCTGCGCTATATTGCAAACCAGAGAAGCCGTTTTAATACATTTGTTGTAAATAGACTGACGGTTATACACGAAGGGTCAAACGTCTCTCAATGGAACTACGTTAGAATACAGAATGAAAATGTGAAGAAGAGCAGTAAGCTTATAAAACTGGATTCATATTTACAGAAGGGAGTAATAGTAGTAGAAGGAAGACTTGAAAGAGCTGACATACCTCAAAGTACCAAACATCCGGCAGTCTTACCGAGGGAATCATAAATTACAGCACTGATACTGGATGATATACACAGAAAACCTGGTCATCATGGTAAAAACTCTATGTTAGCCAAATTAAGAGAGAAGTATTGGGTGTTGCAGGCTGTTACTGCGATAAAACAATTAGTGAATAAATGTGTTACATGCAGGAGATACCAAGCAAAGACTGGATACCAGAAAATGGCTGATCTTCCTGTGAAACGTCTTGCTGTAAATGAACCACCATTTAGCCACACAGGAATAGATTATTTCGGACTCATAGACATTAAAAGAGGACGCACAATAGTAAAAGGATATGGAGTCGTCTTTACTTGCTTATCAATCCGTGCGATACATTTGGAAATGGCGCATTCCCTTGACACGGATTCTTGTGTAAATGCCGTCAGAAGATTTCTATGTAGAAGAGGAAACGTTAAATCCATATTGACAGATAATGGTACCAATTTTGTTGCGGCATCAAAAGAGTTATCAGACATTGATTGGACATTTAACCCTCCACCTGGATCACTTTTCGGGGGTATATGGGAGCGGCAGATAAGGACAATCAGGAAGATTATGTTTTCACTAGAACAAGTGATAAACCTGAATGATGAAAATCTGCAGACACTTTTCTGTGAAATTGAACATATTGTGAATAGTCGACCAATATCGCGAAACTCAGATGATCCAAATGATTTGGAAGGGATCACACCAAATCATCTGTTACACCTTAACAACAAAGACAATGTTCCAATTGGAATATTTACCAAAGAAGATAATTATGCGAGAAAGAGATGGAGACAAGTCCAGTATTTGTCAAATTTATTCTGACAATTCTGGTTGGATACGAGAATATCTTCCGAGCCTACAAGAACGTCAACGATGGATGCAACTGTGACGAAATTTCCAAATCGGAGAGATTGTTCTATTAGTTGACAATTTAACCCAAAGAAGTAGTTGGTCTTTAGGAAAGATAGAAGAGATGTTTCCTGATAAGAAAGGAATGGTCAGAATAGTGAAGTCAAAACCAAATCAGCTTCTTATACGCGACCTATAGACAAGTTGTGCTTAACCCTTTGAACCCTGAGTGTAAATGAAAAAAACGTCATATACCCTGAACTCCAAGTAATAAAAGTAAAAGCGTATGACGTTAACGTTGTATGACGTCACTTAGCAACGGCCGGTATACCGGCTGGTCGGGTATATATTGCGTTAGTGTTTGGCCAGTATACCGGCCGCTAGGGTTGAAAGGGTTAATATTGGAAGACGCGTTAAATTAATGTGTAATATGTGATTGTGTCATCTATGTGATACATATATGCAGTGTATTTGATATATATATATTGAAATCAATTTAATATTATTTGTGCCAAAGTTATTGGTGTTAAAGTCCATTTAATTTGTGTCTATAGCATTTGTTATCTGTGAAATTGGTGTTAATAATCGTTGCGATATTCATCTTCACAATTAGAGAGCCGGAATGTAGATACCAAATGTTCGAAAGTTATGTGTTTAGGATTATAATTTAGACTGCGTTTCGGACTAGTAAATTTTAACCAATCAGACGTTTGTTTACGACCATACGGGGAAGAAATAGTCCAACATGGTGGAAAGAAATTGAGAGAGAAGACAATAATTGCAGATTTGATGACTATTTAGATAGATTTCTAGCTTGGAAGCACACAAATTCGTTAAACGCCATTGAAAATGAGGTATCAACTTTTAAAGATAATACACCTTAAGAGTTTTGTTATGTTAATAAATGGTTGTTAATTCAAGATGGTATATTTCGGGTACCTCTAAGCAGAGATTGTCAAGAAGGGCCTGCGAGAGTGACAAGCGGGCTCTATTAGTAACAGAATCTTTCACTGTGCTTATGTAATATGAAATTCATGAAATTCGTTGCCAGATTAAATATTCAGTTTTAATGTAATTGCAGGAACCACAGACGTCTGGTTGAAAATTGGAATGGTGCAAATTAATGCAATCAGTCTCCCTGACATACATAAAATTGTTTAGAAAACCTCTTAACAATCTATATAGTTATCTTAAAATCATAACAAGTTCTATAACTATCATCACCAGGAGAATTAAATGAAACTGACACTTTCAAGACCAATCACTTGAAAGCAGCTTCAAGCTTTACTTACTCTCTGACTACAATGATTTCTGAATCGAATTTTGGCAATCATTTTCATATGAATTGAAATATCAATTACAAAATACTACTGATAGTCTTAGATTGTCTTTAGGTTGATGAAAATGTTAAACACTGGAAAAGTTATTTTTTGTAAACATGATTTAACAGAGGGGAATTTTCATTCCAAAAGATAGGTCATTTTCAGATGAATTTTCTGGGAGGAAAGTGTGTCTATTTCAAGTGTAAAATCACTAAACCTTTTAATTTCTATTGACCCAAAGACATTCTAAGACAAATGGCATAAAGTTTACAATTTTATTTTGAATATTTATGACATGAGAGAAAGAATTCAATTCAAAGCTCAATGTAGTCAGACAGTAGTATTAACACATACATAACATCCCTTATGAGAAATTATGGAATATTATTCATAGATAAGATTTCTTATCACTTTGTGAAAGAGATTCAAATGAGTGATATTTGATTCCATGAGAAATAATTCAATTCATTGGTAAAACAAAGAAATTCAACACATACAATATAAATTGTTAGCTGAATTCAAAATTTATTGATTTCCTTATTTGTCCAAATAAAAGAAATTGAATTAAATTGTTAGTTAAAGAAATAAGGCAATAAATAGTTAGGAGATAAATCAAACTTACAATAAACTGGTACAGTAGCTGATCCCTGTCCACCAGAATTACCCCTACAAGACCATGTTGTATCATCTTGTTTATTTATATTACTTATATTGAGATATAGTGTTTTGTTGTTATCATTTATACATCCACATTTATATCTATTATCTGTTGAACTACTCTCACAGTTTATCATATTACATACAGCAACATTGTTTCTACGGAACTCTACTCCAGAAGGTGAATCTGTAACATTACATTGTAATCTATAATTTTCACCTAACACTGCATAACTTTCAGGAACTCCTCTTATAGTATATTGACCTGTAATATAAATAAAAGCTTGAACCTGGAGCTGGATAAATTATAAAGCATAAAACCAGGATAATTTGATTAATTTTTAAAATGCGCTTTTTCAACTTTCACAAAGAGAATTGAAATGAAATTAAATACGTAAAGGTGCATTGACACCAAGTGGGCTATACTGCACATCACGTCTGACATTATGTGATGTAAACAAAAACACTAGAATTAAGCAAACTAAGGTAAACTAGATCAACAGGTTTCGCGTGGTTCTCAAGGAGTGCGTACCAGTTTTCATTTTTCACCTTTAACTGTTGCGCAAAGTATTGCAACAGTATCATTATTTCCTAACAAGATTAAGCGGATATATAGGTCGTTTAAACTCAAACCATGTTAAACAGATGGCCAAAACTCATATCTTGTTCTCTATATCGCCCAAACACAAAGCATATTCGACAGATCGCTTCAATTCACATATTCCTTACGAGGTCAACTTTGTCACCAGCTTTGTCAAGTTGCATAATTTTATTGGGAAATATGTGATAGTGGAATTACTTTTATTTCAGATGCCTGTGAGAGTCCTATAGCAATAAAAAGCGTATCATTGTAATTATTCAGTCTTGCATAAATGGTATCACAATATAATTACATGGCTAAATGCCCAAAAATTAATATATTTCACAGACAAAGAGCTGACTGCTAGGAATAACTTTCCCATCCAAAAATTACAGCTATCTGCTGCTTTCTAGAAACTACCTTATTCTCCACATATTAAACAACCGGTCTTGAAAACATGTGAACCAATATGACCGCATATATATTCAATAACCTACAGTCTTTAACAACAATTGAAGGGAGCTAACACCGTCAAATAAACTTTATCGTTTTGACCACAAAAGTCTTACAATAAGAATAAAGTAAAATATGCACACAAAAAAAATGAAGATATTTTTGGATAGATCTCGTTAAGCACAATAACTTTTGTTCTGGTCAACAAAGGTCAAATAAAGGAGATATGAGCCTTAAAGGTTTTGAAAATTGCTGTTTTCGGACGGCTGCCAGACGACTGTATCTTTTTCAGGAACTGGCCATAACAGTATCCTATTTTGTTGCAAAGTTTAAAGGTTGATTTCAGTTACGTTACGTAAATGTGAATCTATCCCGAATACCCCAAAAATTTTGTCTGCTATCATGTATAAAGTGTTATATTATGTTCCAAATTTCAAGTGTCTACAATTATTAGATCATGAGATATTCGTTGTTATACGTTAAAAGTTTGAGTTTATACGACAAAAACCAAGTTGCGCACAGTTACTGTAAAAGACATAAAGGGAATGTAGCGATTCACCATTTTACATTTAGATCATCCAGATTCAAATCCTGTCAAATTGCAATTTACAATACAAAAGATGAATTAATAATACAAATTCCAGAATTATTACACCAAAAATTTATTTATGATAACATCCAGGCCTTCAACAACGATTTATGGTTATTTTTTCTTTGTCTTGTGGACAATGATTGCGGTAATAAAAGTCATCATCACGTACACTGCAGTAGAACTCATAGGCCCAAGTGTATCGATGTACAGGTGTGATATTACGGACAAAGGTCATATTTTAAAATTTTTGTTCAATTGATAAAGATTTTTTTAATGGGTCTTTAAGTAAAGGATTGTAGGCTCAACCAGTACAAATTTGATAAAAACTACATCCTGCATCTACATCCACTGGAAGCAGAAGTTAACTAGTCATACACCTATCTACCATCTTTAATCAAAAAACCATATGAACCAAGAGGTGAAAGTCGAAAGTTGTGGAACGAACAATGAATTTCGACCTCTAAGTACTTTGACATTATTTGCAATCCAACGTCTTTTTCAGGTCCTGATTGATTTCATTTATCTGGGTTAAAAGAATTCTTGAGTACAGTGCTACGACATTCTGTATATTCCGAATTCCCACACTTATAACTGGACCCAACAAGCTGAAAAATCTGTATAATGCAACATCTACTCAGCTTAATCATCAATCTCCAATTAGATAATCTCTTGTATTTTTGATAATACATTATATTGATTATGAGATAAGAACAGTTGAGGCGTTTTTAGGCTTTGTTGACTGCCCAGTATCAACACGTGGGATAAATCAAATTGTCCTTAAGGGATTGTAAAGAGTTAAAATGCCTGTGGTTCCTGCAAGAGCTAAATGGAAGTGACACAGCTCCCTCAAGAGAATACGTAACCAACCTACCACAAGACCACAATAACAGAATAATATGTTATATCCCCTTACAAGGTGGAAGCTCTTTTAACTAAAAATTTGCCTTATAAAACTCTTTACTATATCAATTGTTTACTTTTAATGGAATGGAAGAGTTGTGTAATATCAAGTGCAAATCAGAGCGCTAAATAGACTGTTCTTGCACTTGACCTAATTATCGTCAAAGGTTGATTTTTTCAGGGTCTTTAGCAAATTGCTACATTTTCAAAGTCTCACTCTGTGCCACGTGTGGCTCTAGTTTTTATTTCCGGTTGAATTATATACCTGTGTTATATCTTGGGTGACCGCTTGTAACCTCGTATATGCCATATTTGGTCATTTTGACATTTTGGTATGTTCCAATGTTCCTTTTTCTGGGATGAACACGAAAAAACCTCATATACTGTACTATTATACAAGTTTTTGGTTGAATAGGTCGAAGAACTCAAAGTGTTATACGAGGTTTAAATTTTCAAGGAATGAAAATCACGTATAGCGGTAAAAGAAATGGTAAAAAAGATTTTAACAAAATACGAGTTCAAACAGGTTTTTGCGCTTTTCTCGAAAAGTAATTTCGCGTCACATATCGTTATACGAGGTTTCAAGCGGTCACCCACGATATACCTGTTCTTCAGTCTATTAGTAAGCACTATGGCTTCTTGACCACCTTAGAGAATTTCTAATAAGACTTCCAAATTGAAGTTAAGAGATAAATAATTTTGTTTTTGTTCTTTCTTGATTTTTTGCGCATGCAATTTTATTTTTTTGTGATATGGTCTGATAAATTGGTGAGTAGTAGTTCATTAGATTTCCTTAAAGCTGGGTCTGAATTTGATATCGATGTTCTTCCAAGCTGTATTAAGATTAGATTTGAATTGTTTAAGACTTGAAGAGTTGATTACATAGCCTGGGAGGGAATTCCAATCATTGATGACACGTACAGTAAAATAGTTATTTCTCACATCTAGTCTACATTGTGGTTTAACAAATTTCTTTTGATTTCCTATGGTTCTGGTTTCTTGAGATTGTTGGAATAATGTGTCAACTGTCGTTTATAATTCTATATTCTTGTATAATATCGTTTCGTTTTCTTCTGTATGCGTCTGTAGAGAGTCTGGTTACTCATCGCTTTCGTCTTCACATGGTAAGATGTGCTATTTTACTTTCATTAATATTTCATTGTAACTTTTCATTTTTGTGCATTTTCCAATGTCAAATCATTCTCGAATAGTCATGATTTCCTAGTCTTTCATTTTCATTGATACATATTGGGTGGCGCTAGGGATGTCATGTGACCCAGACCTTTAAATACGGCGATGCACGCCTTAATTCAGTAGTTCGTCTATATATAAAAAATCGTTGTAAGCAGCCGCTGGATCTGAATGCGTCTAATATAGTGACTTCTTCAGGAGCGAATAAAGGTAAATTATATTTATTGACTTCATATTGTATTTTTCATCTATCGGGCGTAAGAGAGTCGTCCCTTGCTCAAAATAAATGCCATGTTTTACTGTGGATTGTAGCGATTATTCTTTATACAATTAATGATATTTTTGTACAAATTTGTCTTGAGGATTGCTATCGTTTGCCATAGAGCAACCTGGGAGAGCCACTCCACTCTACCATTATTTGTGAGTAACGAGTGTAGATTTGCTCGCAACAAAGACCAAGGATACTACACATGCATGCCTTCATTTTTGATGCCCTAGAAAGAAAATATCATATTTTAAGCAATGTGAACTCTCCTAAACAGATTCAGTGACATAATAAAATTAGGCGCTCAATGCATACAATTGAATGCAATACTCTTTTAGTACTTTACCTTAACTTTGACTAAAGTTCGGCTTAAGTCGAACTTTAGGTATGCACAGGTCGATCTTTACGACAGTCGTGCTTAAATTTGACTATCAATTGCAGAAATTGAAAGCCTTAATCCTAACTTTGTAAAGTTCGACTTTAGCCAAAGTTCAACTTTAGTCAAGGTAGGAGCGCTGCATATGGCCCTAAGTCTTGAAGCTCGATCTAATAATCTAACAAACAAAGGTATTTGTAGTTTATTCTAGACATTGAGCTGTTTTAGACCTACCAGAAACACGAATCAAAACAATAAACACCACTACAAATGTTAGTTTTGTTTTCTTTGTTTCTATTGGTCAATCTAGTCCAGTTGACTATCTCCAACTACTAAGTATGGTTGCTTATGTATTCGTTCGCCTCTGATTAAGTCCAAATATGGAAATTAAGTGAACATCCACTGTTGATCGAGTCTGTATTGATTAGAAGGCTGTAGAATAAAACTGTGAGGTCACAGTTTAGGAACAGAAGTATTCCTAAAGATGGTCAAAATTGGATTAGAAATTAAATGAATGGACTTTTATGTCCTTCTTGTTTGCTAATGAAGACAGGCAACATGCTGGGTGAAATGAGGGAAATTTTGCCAGGATAGCGGCATTAGTCTGCTCTTTTTCAATTTCCAACTGTCGAGAGATCTTCAGCGTGAACAGTCTGTAGCACATGGACCCTCGTTTTTGTCCCAGCCGAAAGACTAGGCGCTTTTTCCATGTCAGCCCCTCTTACTTGCATTACTGACAGGGGGAAACCGGGTTGAAAAATCTGAAGGTATTATCTCAACCTATGTCTAGATTGATCCTTGGACCTGATCATTGGACCTTCTGATTAGCGAGCAAGCGTCTAACCCACTGAGCCAACGCGGCTCCAAAAATGGGATTTGAGGTGTAGACTCATTATCTGAAGCATTGGCAACATTAGATTATGTATATGGTGACACATGAGTAGTTTCAGATTCTGTACTGAAGAATATCAGTTAAATCAAGGCAATACCAGAAAATAACTTGCCTAAGCTCACACACCTTTACCATGAAATAGCTAAATCTTAAAACATTGTTAAAGAATTGGGTTGAGCTTCAGCTTTAGATAATTCAACCACATTGTCAACCATAGAGAGCAAACTTTGTCATACTGATCAGGCTAGAACTCTTATCAGTATTGGTAGAAGTTGTAGGAATGATATTAGGGGAGGTTGATGAATTGGCATGAGGAGATGTTGTATTGCGGTTGTTGATGGCTAATGGTAGGAGAAGTTGCAGGACTGCTAGTAGGACATGCCTATAAAGTGGTAGTAAAATGTTGTTGGACTAATGGTAGCCTGTGTTGTTGGACTGGTAATAGAAGTGGTTAGACTGGTTGTAAGAGATATTGAAGGACTGATTGTAGGCATTATTGTTGGACTAGTATTAGAAGCTGTTGACAGACTTGTATCGGGTGATTATGTTGGACTAATATTAGCCTTAGTAGAGGTTGTTGACTGACTGGTAGGAGATGTTGAAGGGGATATTGTTGGACTAGTATAAGAGGCCGTTGACAAGCTGGTATCAGGTGATGTTGTTGGACTAGAACTAGTAGTAAGCGATTTTGTTGGACTAGTATTGGCCTTAGGGGAGGTTGTTGGACTAGTATAAGAGGTGGTTGACGGACTGGTTGGAGATGTTGAAGGGGATATTGTTGGACTAGTATAAGAGGCCGTTGACAAGCTGGTATCAAGTGATGTTGTTGAACTAGAACTAGTAATAAGCGATTTTGTTGGACTAGTATTGGCCTTAGGGGAGGTTGTTGGACTAGTATAAGAGGTGGTTGATAGGCTGGTAGTATTGAATAATTTTTTTTGTTTAATTTTCACGAATAAAACATGCCCACAAGAGATAAGAACCATCAAAAATGAATTCCTTGACGCTAAATACATATATTTTGAGACCAAAAGTTGTGACAGAAATAGTATTCGGAATATCGAGGATGGCGGACATTTTGTATTTGGTCCATAAAAATATTTCTACCAAGGTGTCTTAGTGTCACCCGTTGGAAATGTGTTTAGAAGGACTTATAAAACCTGAAATATACGACATGAAAGTATCGGCAGATTGCCAAGGTCATTGACCTTTGACCATGTTAAGGGGAAGGTAACAAAGGTCAAGGTCACAAGATATCAGTAATAAAATGAAAATGCAAACGGTGTTAAACCGGAAGTTGACGTCGAACCTCAAATATGAAAGAACAGATAGATAGTCAAGGTCGATGACCTTTGATCCTACAAAGGTCAAGGTCAACAATGGTCAAGGTCAAAAATCAATATTAATGAAATTCTAATGAAAACCTGTTCGTTTTTTTTAACAAAGCTGAACCAACTGATCTTTTTAGAGAAAAAAATGTAAATAAATAATTTAACCTGGATGTGCCATGCCCACCTGAACTTTTTTGTCATAGTCGAAATCATATTCAAAATATCTATTTGTGTTCCAAATTTCAAGCTTCAACATCATATAGGTCCAAAGATATGCACACACCAATCTCAAAGAATTGAAAATATTGTAAAAATCCTTAATTTCAATTTCCATTTAAAACCTATTGTTATATATCACTGGAAAGAGCATGAGGAGCATATTCAGTATCCAAAAAAATAACCCTCAAGGTTAATTAGGTCATGAGCTAGAGCAGTCTAAAATTGCCAATTTGGCTGTTTTTGGAAAGCTCTAAAACTGGAAGTAGATGTGGGAGGTCATAATCAAAGTATCAACTGATAGCCAAGATCAATGAACCTCTTTAAAGTCAAGGTCATCAAAGGTCAAGGTCACGACATATGACCCTTTAAAACATTCAACCGGCAATTGCAACAAAGCGAAAGCAAAATTTAAAGATAGTTTGCGAGGCAAGGTAACATACGCCCACTGGCAGCTGTCAGAAATGATAAAACAGTCTTTAGTGACTAAAGTACGAATTTTCTCATATTGAAGAAATTTTATTAGTTTGAATTCAATGATATATATATTTACTGCCAGTTATTTATGCTGAGTAATTCCACAAATGTTTTAGAATCAATATCAATAACCCAAATACAACAAACAATTAAATCACACAGCTCTAATCAAGGGCAAAAAACAACTTTTGACGCGTGTTTACAAAGTCAAGGGCAATAACTCAAAAAAAGTTCATCAAAAATATCTCATGATAGAACTTGTCCGAGATCTTATCAATTCCAATGATCACACCAATTTTCATCAAAATCGATTGAAAACTGTAGCTTCTTTTGTGCTCACAAACAAATTTTGAAGCGTTTTACAAAGTCAAGGGCAATAACTCTGAAAGTGTTCATTGAAAATGCCTTAAGTTAGAACTTGTCCGAAATGTTATCAATTCCAATGATCATAACAAGTTTGATCAAATTTGGTTGAAAACTGTCGCTTCTATAGTGCTCACAAACACATTTTGACACGTTTTTACAAAGTCAAGGGCAATAACTCAAAATCCGTTCAGCGAAAATGCGTCAAG